TCAATTTCTCAGAACAAGAGTAGAATTTTTCAAATGCTCGATTTTCATTCAAAACCACGAATGATTTCTTGTGTAAAAGTGGCCAATCTTGAAAACCGTTTAAGTTAACTTTCCAGCGTGACAAAAGTTTGCAGTTGCAAAATTCTGAAAGCAAAAATAGAATAAATTCAATGTATCCAGGGATATATGAAGATCGACTAAAAGATGCCTTCTGTAAAATTCTGCTGTAGAAATTGCCGAGTGTTTTTCCATATAGACTGAACTTGCGTGTAGCAATTGTTTGTTAAAGAATAGGTGTTCTCAAAAAATTTTCAGCGTCAGATTTTTAGGGAAAAGGAAAAGGAAAAGGCTGGCTCCTTTTTAATGAAGGAACTTGTAACCCGCTTTTCTTTAACGTTGAATTTCTGTTCAAGGAAGTTCTCTTAGATGGGCATTTCTCATTCAGTCTCTAGCGGGTTGTTGAGGGAAAATATCCTTTGAAACGTCCCACCATAGAACTCGCTCAACTGTCTTTTCAATGAGACCAGTGCTTGTTCGTCATATTTGTTTGTAGAACAAAACTCAAATTCTTCCATGAATCCACCCAAGCATCCAATTTTTCAATGAAGTCAATGAAAACAAATGGAGGTATTCTCTATTTTGAGGATGTGTTTCGAAAATTTTTTTAGCTTGTTAGTTTGACCAAAACTTGTTCTATTATAAAAGTCTTCAATCTTGAACGCGATTAACAGCTGCCTTTGATATTTTGGTCAAAATAGAAAAAGATAAAATAAGAATCGTCGTATCTCTCATTTTGACTGATTCTTTTCAGAATGTGAAGGTCACTTGTATAAATTGCAATTCTGGCATGATCTGAGCAATGCATCAATCCCAGCGAATTCGGCAGCTGTTTTGATCCCTAGTATGACCATCTTATTGTGTTAATGTTCAGAGTATGCATGGCTGGCTCGGTTTGCAAAGATCAACTATGATGAGTCAGCTCCTGGCGTGATCAACGGTCTAGACATGTAAATTGGCTGACCCGTCCTCGCTTACTACGAAGATCAAGCGCGATGAGTCAGCATCCATTGTGGTCGACGGTCGAGTATTGGTGCTATTCCAAGGATCAGTTAACAGCAGTCATCGCCAAATTCTCACAATTTAATATCTAGGAGCCTATTATATACCAAGCGAAGTGCATTTAACTCTACTAAAATCAAAGATGTATATAGTCTAACAAAGATTTCTTGACAAAAAAATTGTGATGCGATCTAATGGCAGTGTGCCTGAAGGAAAAATGTTCAATAACTGCACAGCTCAGTGAAAGTTACAAAATCTTGATTGCAAAATAATTGTGTGGCAGAATCGCATTTCAAAGCTGAGCTAGTTTACGCGTATTATATTATATCAAAACACTTCTATTAAACCACATTAGAGTTCCCAGCGAATTCGGCAGCTGTTTTGACCCCTAGTATGACCATTTTATTGTGTTAATGTTCAGAGCATGCATGGCTGGTTCGGTTTGCAAAGATCAACTATGATGAGTCAGCTGCTAGCGTGATCAACGGTCCAGACATGTAAATTGGCTGACCCGTCCTAGCTTACTACGAAGAGCAAGCGCGATGAGTCAGCATCCATTGTGGTCGACGGTCGAGTATTGGTGCTGTTTTAAGGATCACTTAACAGCAGTCATCGCCAAGTTCTCAAAATTTTCGCTAATATCTGGGAGAATATTATACACTACCAAGCGAAGTGTGTTCGACTCTACTAAAATCAAACATGTATATAGTCTAACAAAGATTTTTTGAAAAAAAAAGCTGTAATGCGATTTAGTATTATATTATATCAAAAAACTTTTATATCTTCCATTATGACATGGGGAGCAGGATCAATTCGCTTATAAAGTGATCTTTGAGGCCGATAAACAGAAGCTCATGTATTTTTGCTATTAAGATAAGTTTTGGAACTGAGCACCGTGAATCTAGTTGTGATAAGATAAGTTTTGGAACTGAGCACCGTGAATCTAGTTGTGATTGTTTGCGTTAAGTTTTATCAAAAAGCTCTAACTCAGTCTTGAATCAGAAACAGGTTATTTTTAAGAATGTTTTGAAACTTAATCATCAAAAATGGGTGTTTCTTTGTCACTGTCATGAAAAAACGTATCAATGGCACAGCTCGGCAAAAATCTGGCCAAATTTTGTAAACGAAATGATTTTGTAAGCAAAGGTGTGGAACTAAGAGGCTGGGCTGCTGACTGTCTGTATGCCAGATCAAAGCTTCAGCTCCCATCAAAGTGGTAAAAATAGGGAACGTTGACATGAATGATGGTTTTTGTAACGATTCAGGAAGGCAACGAACAGAAGTATCTGCGGAGCAAGAAAAGCGCAAGCAGTGTTGGGCTGAATTATTGGCACCATTGCACAATTCGCTACATACAATGGAAAAGCGCTTGACACCCCCTTCTCCTTGAGTTGCTGAGCTTTAGAAAGAACGCCAGCACTGTGTGGCTGTACAGCTGCGAATGCCATCCAGCGAGACCACGCCCCAAAATTCTCTGCGGTCGAGCTCGCTCCTCACTTCGTGCGTGTTCTACTTCTGGCGAAACGCCGCCCACATACCACTTTCGATGTTATATTATAGGAGGATTTGTCTATATTGTTACCTATTACAAACAAGTTATTTTTCCATTTGAGTATTTTTTTGAAAATCTTGCCGCACCTTGCATGATTTTTCTCCCCTTTTTGTTATCTATTCCTCCTCGCTCGTTTGCTTATCAAGTTTACCATGCCGTTACTTACGCTTTATAAATGAGTGGAGTCAGTCGTATACCGCTTGACGTAAGGGAAGTGGATCTCGAAACTCGACGAGTAAGATTGTTTTAAACCACGTCAGTCTAAAAGCTAATTCATACGGTCTGAAGATAATTGAGCGGGGAGGGGGGATGGGGGGGGGGATGATTCTTGTGAGTATTTATTTACGACACGTTTGTCTTTTCCCCCCAAACAATTTCCAGCTTGACATTTGCCAGCCTTGTGCCGGGCCCTAATCACGTTCGAAGAACTGAGGAACCGAATAACCCACCTGAAATACATATGTCAACACTTGCGAATGTGTGGACATGAAATATTTCATAGACGATTCCTTCTCAACTGTCCGCCGATTTGAGAACGTGATTAGTGATCAGCCAATTGGTAACTGTTAGGCCCTGGGCAGAGCTCACGCGACGAAGTCGCGCGATCTCCAGTCGCGACGACTTGCACGAAAGTGGCGACTGGGACGCGACGACTGAGTCGCTCAGTCGCCGGAGGCGTGCATACCTCCGACGCAATTTCATGCAATTGCACAACACTTTACACATTGCACGTACTCTAATTCATTAGTGAAAACCAGTGCTCCCGTTAACTTTACTACTCATTGTTATTCAAAAAAGGTGCAGCAGCAGACAAAGGAAGTTTGGAAGTTTATCACATTAGAATCCGACTTGATAACAATCACAACGTTATGCAAATGATCGACGATAAAAGGAGAAGTCACGACATCGTGGTTCTGGTAAAAGGCTCATAATTGAATGAATGTTGGGAAGCATTAATTACAATAAGGAAGAAGTACCAGCAAGGCCCAGTGGCTGCGGACACCCGAAGGAACCGTTACGCGGCAAAACGATGTTTTCAGCTCTAGAAGCGTCCCCCATGTGCTGCATATGATAGGCGAAAATACTGTTATTATCTCATGCAAAGCTCATATTTCGGAGTTACGTAGACTGTGAGCACATTCTTCAAGTATTCGATGCGCAATCGAACAGGGGGTAGGGCTTGTCACAGATCTCTTTGGCAGTCTAGGATATGAGATATAGGAAATGTATATTGAAAGACAAGAAAAAATGCAAAATGAGACCAACTGCCCTCATCAAACAAAGAAAGGATAGGCATAACTTGGCATTGCAACAATTCATGCAAAAACTCTCATAACATGCAAAAAACAGCAACTTACTACGAAAACATCTAAAAAGCAGTTCAGGATCGGCGCGACGGTCGCCCCGTCGCTCGCCGCAAACGAGCGACGCGACATCGCGCCGATTCGGCAAAATCGCGACGATATCGCCTAGCAAGCTATGAACGCCGAAATGTGTGGCGCGATCTGTCGCGCCGCGCAGCCATCACACGCGTCGGGACCCATACACTAAACAGCGTGGCGTGGAACACTTGTCCAAAATGATAGGACGCGACGCGACGAAGTCGCATGAGCTCTGCCCAGGGCCTTACAATTACCAGCGCGATGAAATTGAAGACAAATTGGTAGCCAAGGAATGTTGTGTCATCTCTTAGGAGTTCTTTTGCAACTTTCGTCACTGGGCCTTGACGTTTTGAGTAATTTCATTTATTTTCTTTTTTCTGGATTTCGATAGGTAGCATGCAAATAGAACACTGAAAACTGTACAGAATTGCACTTTGACAATAAACCTAAATATTAGGCTGGCTAAAATAATCTCGGCCTTTTGGGAGTGGAAAAGCTTATAAAGCGCGTTTCTGTAGAATCTTCAACGTAAAAGAGTATTACGCAACGAGAACGGACTTCTTTCCGAAAATAAATAAATCTGATTTGTCAAGTATTGCTGAAGCCTAGGCATGACCATTTGCACTTCTGAACGGCTTGGATCCCAATCTGCCAAGCGCAGATTTCATTAGTTTTTCAACTCTGAATCCACTACAACAGAAAGAACTTGGGGAGTTAGAAAAATGGTCATTTGGAAGGACTGAAATTTCAAACGCTACCAAAATTCCTACGGTTTTTTCTGCTCAAATGTTGAGACGAAATAAATTCAGCCAGCCTGATTGAGATTAGTAAAGTGAGCGAAGCATAGACAACTATGTTCGCGAGATCATAAGCAGGCATCCGATGGGGAAGACGAATAATGTGGAGAGGCGTGGTCTGCGGGCCACTGCTCCCTCCGCACATGCTGTCGCATGGCGCGTCAATACCAATAGTCCGCTGATGCGGCTCAAAGTAGCGTATTCACTGCACTATCCGCAGGCTGAGCATCCTCCTTTTGCTTGCGTTTGAGGAGCCTGGGATGTAGCACCCGGCACACACCTATTGTACTGATATGAAATTCCATATCCTGCACAGTTGCATTCGTAAACTGGAGTGCCGTTGGAATCGGTGTAAGATAACTTCGAAGCTGTAAAATTGGGTGCAAATCGATGAACCTGAACTATTTAGCAAATCAGCTCACTGCAAGATTGCGACTGTGTAGACTGCGTGGTCGTTGGTAGCTGTGAAAGTGCAGCACCTCCAACTGCTACTAGGTCCGCAGTTCCTTGTAGTGCCGCACCTATAAAAATTCTCTAGAGTCAATTTCCCGAAGTTTTCAAATACACTTTGCCAACCTATTGCATTGACCGCGCCAAAGATACCGTTACCGGATCCAACGTAACCAGAACCGTAGCGACCTAATATTTTCTGTTTTAATACGAAGGTTTACTGATTTTCTATGCTAAGGCTTGCCCAGAGTTGATGGACCTGTGCGGCATTGAGACAGCAATAGGACAGCACCAGGCAAGCATAGCGCCGTTCCAGCGTAAGCACAACGCTATCGGAGGTCCTGGGGCGGTATTTATCAATCTCCCGCTCGCTGTTCGGGCGTGTTGCATCGTTATACACGGCCCACAGGCGAGAGTGTTTAACTCGTACTTTGGTTAGCATGGCCCAAACGGGCAGCAAAGCCCGATCTGTTGAGATCGGGCCTGTCATGCCCGACATCTGGTCAAATCTACCAGATCGGACCCTTGAGCCCATGCACTGTCCTAGTGAGGTCTAGAAAATATGGTGATGGGAAATTTTGATAATTACTGTGATCCAATCTAGCCTTCTTTTCTATACAGTTTGATATGTATTGTTTCGACTCAGCTAAGAAATAAAACTTTTTGATTGAATTGCAAATTTCTGCAAGTTTATCTTATCCCTGTGCTTTGATTAGTCCTACAATACAATGACATTCTATGCGTTACTGATATCTAGACGGAATTGGCCATTTAGGGCACTTTTCAATAAAAGACGACCCTCAATTCTGACTTTACTATTGTTGGCAAGATAATCACAAGTGCATAACAATACAAAAGCTGTGCTCGAGGACCGAAAGGAAAGGAAAAAAAATGAAAGACGATGGGTTTTCAAACGTTTACGATATTCAAAGTTTACGCCAGCAGGCGTTTTGGATATGCGCCCGCTCGCGCAGCTAGCGTGCTGCCCCTTTGCACAGTAGGTTCCCGAACAGGCTTGAGAGCGATGTACAGGAAATTGATAAAACCGCCCCTGGTGGGAATATACTCAGTGTATCTTCCTACAAGAATATAAAAACTCGTTCTTTTTTTTTTGACCTGCGTGTTCTTTTTCTGTCGCATCCTACTGCATCTATTGCCTTGCTGAACTCTTATCACATGTGTTGGGTATTTCAAGAAAATTTTTTGGGAATTTTGGTTTTTTCTTGGAAATGGTAATTGATGGTGCCGTGGGCTCGAACATTCCTTCGCTTTCGCAATGCTGACGCAAAGCTCGGTTCTGTAAATTCAACGTTCTCCATGCAGGCAGCAGTATTAACAACTTGTGAAAAGATTGAAAAAGTGCGGAAGGCTAGGGGAAGATAAAAATTTGATAAATGCGACGCGTACGAAGGCAAGAAAGCAAGTTCTGGTGCTTCCGTAGCTAGACTCAACGGTTTTGATCGAAGTTCTCATCGGGACATCCGGTAGCGTAGGCGCTGTGCTCGCAAGTATCAATAGTACCGGCACAGGTCGGGTAACTCTGGACGGAGCCTGGTCTTTGGATTTAACCTGATAGGCCACCACCGCTGCTGGCCGTGCCATAGCTGCCGTAATCGGATCCAAACAATCCATTAGAGCCTAAATCATAGACTCCAAGTGAAACTCTTAGAGCCTCATTCCCTGTGGGTAAGGTGATTATATCTAAATCGAACCTGATAAGCCACCATTGGTACCATATCCTCCTGCTATAGCTGAATCTGCGCCTCCCACTCCTCCGCTGAGCGTCCCTCCTCTCATTTGCGCTCCTATTCCACCACCAAGCGCTCCTCCCCCATTGAGCGCTCCTCCGCCATTAAATGCTCCTCCTCCATTGAGCGCTCCTCCCCCAATGAGTGCTCCTCTTTCAGTAAGCGCTCCTCCATTGAGCGCTCCTGCCCCATTGAGCGCTCCTCTTCCATTAAGCGCCCCTCCATTGAGCGCTCCTGCCCCGTTGAACGTTCCCCCTCCCAAGGGTGCTGTTCTTCCAGCTAGCGCTCCTCTTCCAATGACTGCTCTTCCTCCAATGCGGGAATTTAAGAAAGGTGAATTGTTTACTGGAACCGCCCTGCAAAAAATACACGTCACTTTTCGTATCGACATATTGACCATTTGTTTTGAAAGAAAGTTAGATTGTTACTTTTCTAATTTTTAAGGCGCAAATATTCAGTTCATGCTGCGGAAAAAGAACATAAGGAAATGACGAAATGCGCAAACGAGCTCTTTCAAAGATCAGTATTTTTTCCTTCGCTCAAAATTTGGAAACCGGTTGATTTTGGAGGACATTGCTTGCGTCACTGAAAACAAGCGCAAAATTTTTGATTGATTAGGAAGAATAAAGAAATCTTTTTCCCTTTCCTCTAAAAAGCTCATCAACATCTTTGATTATCTAATTTCAGTCTCATTCTACGAAGACCAGTGATGATTAATAGGAAAAAGAGCAATTCATGCGTTTACTGTTATTGGTACAGAAAGTAATGCCTGACCAGCAGATCAATTAGATTTTCAACAGCCCTTTTTCGGCAGTTCTCCAGACGTCAGTTTAAGGGTGATTATGGATTGCATTAAAAAAGTTGAAACCAGTATCTGCACAAAATTGATGTATTTGCTCTGGTATTCACTTCTTGCAAGGATGATAATTGGGGCTCTTTACGAAAATAAACTACATACATACCCTATTCGCCTAGTCACTCGAGGGTCGTTTACGGGCAGTGGTTTAGGACGCGATGGAGCTGGACGTAGAACTGGTCTGCGTGGAGCTGGAGGTAAAATTGGTTTGGGTCGCGGAGCTAGAACAGGTTTGGGGCGTGGTGGAGGCACTGGAAGTCTTCCAGGAACTTTTTTGGGCATCATTGGGAAGTGTCTAGGAGGTAAAGGTCTTGGTCCAGGACCCAGCATAGGTAAAGGTCTTGGTCCGGCGAATTTTCTGAGATGACTCCCCATATAGGAACGCCCGGCTCCTCTTGGTAGTTCTCTCATTCCTCCAGGGCCTTTCGGGAAGTTTCCAAAGGATGAACGTCTCCCGAAGAAGCCCAATGGGCCTCCAATGAATGGCAATGTGATCGCGCATGGTAGAAAAGCCTCTGAAAAGTAAAGCGCGTAGTCATAAAACGATCCTAAGAAACTCTAATCAAGAACTTACGTAAGGAAAGTAAAGGAAGAACAGAGCTCGGTTGCAACACACTCATCACAGACTGAGCACTGGGAATTGTGCGCCGCAACTACGTGTAAATGCCGATGACCGTTGTAAAGTGATGGGTAATGTGCCTGAGAAGTTGGTAACATACAGGTTGTCCCAAAAAAGTGTCGCACTTTGACTTTAGTAACTTGCCTGCTCAAACTCTCAGATTTTTGATTTACTCATATGAAAGGTTATGGTTCTCACTTACATTTATAAGGTAAGGTAATTCACAGCACATTGTAAACCACCTACAACTATGAAAAAATGCTCAGAAAACCTAGGATACGATGTTACCAACAGCTGCTCTGGCAATAAAGGAGTGACAAGATCACCTTTCTTTGTTTGTGGAGAAATGGGCACTAAATCTAGCTATGTAGAAGTTAGTTTATGCTTCCGCAATGCTGTTGTTTCAGTAATCCAATGTTATAAGCAAACGCCAACCTCGTGCTAGCTATCGGGGTGGTGGGAGCGGGGAGACTTTCCGGTAGTTTAAGCAGGTATCAACTGCTTTTCTAGGCTGAAGATAATATCAGACCGCTGCATAGTTCGGTCCGTAAATTTTCGAATTCATAATACCACAACTTCTTTCAGAATCACCTTTTTCCATAATCTCAGTTTTTTTATGTTGAAGTTCTTTAGCTATCAAAGAATAGTTATCGCGAATTCCCTTTCAAAGAAGAAGCAAAAACTCAAAAACTGCAACAGCGCTTTCTTCAAACCTGTCTTTTTCGACAGATTTGAAGAAGAACGCTGTTGAAGAAGATAGCAATGCTCTTATATGAGAGACAGGCACATTATGTAGCCGAGATTTTTCGAAGATTATTCTACATCCTGAGATTGCCAATAGGATCTTCGGTGCCGCAAGCCGTTTTTCAACCTCGTCTTAGTACATGTTATGCCCATTGGCGGCGACGACCTTTTTTTTTTTTTTTTTTTTTTTTAGTCGACGTTTCGTTTTTTGGGGGATTTTGGGGATTTTTTTAGGATTTTAGAGGGGATATCGTTGAGGATCAAAGGGGACTTCGTAAAATTTCCCAAAAGTCAAGGGGGACTTCGTAAAAATTGGCAAATTTCAAAGGGGACTTCGTTTTCAAAATTCCCTGGTGCCAGCTCGTGCCGAGCCCTGGTTATGCCTACTTTCAAATTATGAAAATTTTACACTTGCTGCGAGGGGTGAAAAGTAACTGGTGGCTGGGCTCTGCTAGCTCTTGCTTTACTCTAGCACCTCCGACATTGACTCATCGATTGTCTCTATTCACGTAAGGTTTTTGCTTGTTTTGTACGAATAATAATTCTTCAATAACAAATTTTACTAGGAAGACGTTTTTTTTACATGAAATTGAGTTTGTGCATATACTATTAGGTTGTCCTATAATTATTTACCGTTTTTACTTCGACGGTCGTGTTTTTGCATCTTTCCTTCATCTTATGTGGCTTGAGGGATCATTCGACAGGGCAAAGCATGCTTTACCTACAAGATGGCTATCAAAAGTCTGCCTAAATCGTAATCCACTGAGGTTTTGAGCTGAAATCTGGTAGTAGTCGAAAACGAACTTTCCTGTCAAAAATCGTATCTCCGCCCCAAAGTATCTAAAAAAAATTCCAAATTTATTCTGGCCTATGCTTGACACATCGCGCATTCGATTGTACAAATTTCGTATTTTTTCCATGGCTAGAAATAAAGAAAAAATTGAATGGAGTAAAATGGCAAACTCCGTCCCTAGAAGTCCTGAGCTCCTCCCACACACGTGATCATATATCATACATACAAAAGTACGACCATGTATTTGAAAATTTTGAAGGTGCCTCAGTTCTTGATAAATGCTGACACCCTAATAGACTGGCTTATTCCGTGTTCAGTACAAGGATTTGACTTGGTATTGCGGAGATTTTCTCGCAAGAACAATTTCTTAATTGAGAAAGTGTCTCAACCATCTGGACATCAGAGGCCCGCATTCTCTTAAGACTGGGTTATTAAAATATGATATGTTTCGAAAGAGCAAGGAGAGCGCTTTCTAATAGTACAAATAATATCGCATAATGTATGAAAATCTCCTAGAACGGCTGCTTCACACACAAGACAGAAAATATCGGACAGAACTTATGCAGCAGCCTAGTACATAACCAAGGGGATCACTTAATTCTGATGTTCGCTTTCGAAGCTGCACATGCCAAAAAGCTCTTTGTGGTCTAACTAGATAGCCAATTTGGTTGCTAGTTTTGTGTTTTTATTGGTAACATCTCTACTCAAGTACCCTTTCGCTCGCTATCACCGCATCGTTGAGTGCAAATGAGCACAAACGAATTTTACACAGCTGTCGTTGGTGTATGTAGCAGGATGAAATTATTGTATATTTGGGCGTTTTATTAGTTAGCTTAGGATTCATTCTCGTCCTTATTTCTTCAAATGCTTGCGTAAGATGCGTTTAGTCGAGTAGTGATCACACTCTTCATAACGAATTATTAATTCTTATAAAAAGCTGATCTAACTGATCTACTTCGATTTCTCAGTTCCCAACATGGGAAAATCTTTGTTTTCGTCACTTTCTCACTTTCTTATATGGAAGCGTTTTCGCATAGATTTTTTATGGTCGATTATGGAAAGAGTTGCACGTCAATATGAGACAAAGAAGGATTGGATTGCTCCAAAAGATCAAAGGTTAAAAGATGTCTCCTGAACAAGACTTTCTTTGGACGGGCAGGACATCCGAACCGAAAATTGCTGGACAAGAACTAACCGGTTGACAAACCGTGCGCAACCAAGTACTCCATACTAACAGATTTGTACTGCAGCGAATAACTAATAATCCATTGAGTTTCCTGTGTGATAAAACATGTGCCCATATGGCAAACGTCATCAAAATTGTTCTGCAAGACCTGATTAGAGTTATTAGGTTGGTGCAAAAATATTGTCCGTTTTGAGAAGTTTCACTTTGAGAATCATGAGTTTGTTCAGTCCTCATATTTTTGAATATAGTCAAAACCATTAGATGCAGCAAGCCTTTCATACCTTAGCGCAAACCTGCTCATACTGATAGTGCAAACGGGAAATCATTCAAACAACCGAAAGGTTCTCTTTTAAAGACCTCGTTTTTGAAAGCTTACAACTCCTTTTAGGTTTTGTTCTTATAGCTGATAATCGGTTCGTTCTGTAGCCGCAAGCGCAAAGAAAATATAAAATTCCAAAATTGTCCACCTTTTTAGCCTATTTGTGGCAGGCTTAAAAGTTTCAAATTATAAAAACTTGGATTCTTCATGCACTGTATAGCTGAGCATGAGTTTCTCTGCAAAAATTGTAGGCAAGATATCCTAATCTCAAGCTTACAAAAATGAGCGAAGCTTTGGCGTGCCTCAATCATGGGAAATTTTTGACCCATAGAATGTCAGCAGAAAGTATTTATCTTGGGGGCGTCGATTTCTCATTCCAGATATTTTCGAGAAATCTACTTAAGCATGCAATAGGTAAACAATATTCATCCACTACAGATGCTATGTTTTCAAAAGAATTCGTCCATTTACGCCTGATTGTGGCCAAGGGAGTTAAAGCAAGAAATTTCAATTTTGAGTGCAGCTGTGCGAGATGCTGATGAATTCCTCACAGATGAGATAGAAGCTTGATTTCACCACTGTTAGAAAGTACCTGAAGAAAGCTTTTCAATGGTAGCAACAACTTTACCGAAAAAGAAATCATGAAGGAAAAAAGTTGTATGGAAAGTAGGCCTAGAAAAACGCACATTATTTTTGCACCAACCTAATACTTAGTCTCCATTGTACTTCTCAGGCTACCCCCGCCACGTTTGTCCTGCTTCCTTGCGAACCATATAAACGATGTCTGTTTCGAATCTGCACGATCTCAGGTGTTGGTTGGAGGACTTCTTGGGGACCGGAATCAATGAGTGAAAAAACGAAATTGAAAATCTGACAGCAAGGTATCAGAAGGTTGTGCGCAACAAGGAACAAATTTTATCGACTAAATCTTTTGGTCATTTCGTTGGTTTATGTAGACTCCGCGAACTTATGAAACGACAAGTAGATAATTTCTTCATCTGATTTTCGACAGCTTCGTCTTCGTTGGAGGTATGAAGTAGATTGTTGTCTTTTTCACCTATCTCACATAACAATCAGATGTCTTCTCTTCAGCTATCTCTAGCTGTTGTCTGTAATGCAACATGCTATGAAAAGGTCTTTTGAAAAAGCCCTCGTTGCCAATAATCCGCACTACTATGACGCACACTCCTGAGAATCACACAATTGTACCGAAACCGAACTAACACAATGATATAAAAGGCAAGAGTTCATTCGTTTTGTCAAACACTCATCTTTGCTATTCGTACTAAGGCATTAGCGGAAATCCACGCAGCATATGCCTTTTTTGCTGAGATTTCACATGTGCTAAGATGGTCTATCATCTACTACAGAAGCACTACCTGTAGGCTTTTATTCTATATCTATCCTTCGAAAATACCAAAACATGCTTATTGCAAACCATGAGCTTCATTCTTACTCAGAAAGCTTCCGAATCTACCCGTGTACGATAATTTACAACTCGAGCAGCGAATGCTAATTCTCGATGTAGGACGTCTACTGATTTTATGTAGGGGCATTATTAGTTCGCGCTTTGTATTCTCTATGGTAGTTTTGAACTCATTTTAATCGAATAGTAAATATATAAAATAATATAATATAATATATCGCTGCTAATCGCCTTTTGCCCATTTGATCTATGTGTGAACGATCATAGAATACCCTTAGGAATCTATTTATTCTTATCCTTCGTTGCTCGTAACTTGGTTTCTTCTTCTTGTAAGTTTTGGTC